TTCATTCCATCTCCCCATACAAAATACACTCTTCCATATCAACCATTTGAAGAAATGGACATCCCAAAGTTCATCCATTCTTGCACTACCGAAAAAAATGGACATAACCCCTTTCTCTCTTCTCCTAAGTTTGAATTTTCTGAATTTAGTCCCCCTTGCTAGAATGGGCTCTCCTATAAACACCTCAACATGTAAATGGACTCTTCATATGGTATGGAGTGAAATATAAAATCAGCTGGTGGCACAACCACTTCTTGGAACAGCTTCATGGCAGTGTTTACAGCGGCCGGTCCGTCCCCCCAGGGCTGTCACTCGGAAGTGGTACTAATTCAGCCAAGTCTGTGCGCCTGCGAGTCTTTATGCAGCAAATAAAGGCGTTTTAGATGACTGGGATAAGCCTGCCGTAGCCGGGCTCGTTTGTCAGGGAGAGGGATGACGTAAACGTGGGAGATGAAGCGTGCGATACCGTTATCAGCAGCGCGGCAGGGCGCAGCAAGGCTTTATAATGGACATGTGCTGGTCTGAAAGAAAGCTGGCTTTCCTCTGTTGAATTTGAAATCGGGTCTGCTGACAAAACGTGGCAGTTATTCTGTGATTGCAGCAGCATGTGTAGGGAGAGTTAGGGAGGAAATGATCCAATTTTTTGTGCAGTGAAGTGTATTTAGACCTGGTTACCTTTTGATTGTGGTACAGGTCATTTAACTTGCTTTGATACAAATTAGTTTGAAATATTTTGCAATGCATACATATACCTATTCCACATTGTGTATCATTGACAACTGTTTTTTTTTCATATTTTATAAAATAGAGGGTGTGTGTGTGTCAGTGGGAAAAGAATTATAATGTAAAAATGTTCTGTTAAACAAGCTCCCAAGAAACTCAATCAATTTCTGTGACAAAATCAAACGTAATATACTTTTTGCAGCAATTTTACACTGATCAGTGGTCTGTCACTCAAAAAGGGCTGGTGGTCCTCGGTACTTTCAAAATTGTCTTTTGGGAAAAGTCTTGTTCAAGTGCCCTGTAGCTTATCTTGGACATATATGGCTTTAGACGAGGCTTTAGCTGACAGCAGGTTGCAAGGCCTGGGGAGTACATTACTGTGATACCATAGAACCTTGCAGAGAGGGTTTGGGAAGCACACTCAAGATTAGTATCTGAAATGTTGGTGAAAGCTTCTCAAGTAGCTGGCCTGAGGTTATGTCGTGATGGACTACTGTGTATTTTAAAGCTGGTTATGTTGTGAGATACAAGAGCCACACGTATGACGTACCATTCAAGTGTCATAAAACTGTCCAGACGCGTCACACAAAGAACAAGGTTGCTGATATTTTGTCCAAAAATTGTGCATTGCATGAGGGATGTGCAGAGATTGCCATCTATATGAAACCTTGAAGTGTAGGGGGCTTTCTATGAATCATTCAATCGCAGCCAAAGCCTTGCACGGAACTCTCTTTACAAATGGCAACCCTGGAGCTATTCAGTGCAGCCTTGGCCACCTTCAGCTTGAGTTTGTCAGCTGCAAAGAAAGGCTGATAGCTAAGAATACTCCTTCAGAACTATTCAGTCGGTGCCTTAGATGCAAAGTAGTTCTTAAACATGTACATGTACATGTACATTGTAGCGGTGGAGTCAAGATGGCTGAAATAGATAGGCTTTTGACTGCTGTGTTCTCTGCAGTCAGGTTGTTGTCTTTAGCTCCGGTAAGTTGATGTGTGCCTGGGGTGGTGTGGGAAGTCCTGTGTGATGCTACAGGCTGATGGGATCCGAGTGGTCAATTTGGGGAGGATTTTCCTCTTGTTGCTGGGGGATTCTGCAGGATGTGATAGGAATGTGCTCACAGTAGGACAATATGGATGACATCCTCTGGGAGCTACAAAACTGATGTGAGTCAGGTAAAATGAAAGTCATGAATGTAGAACAAAATGACTAAACACCCAGATTAATTATGGTGTGGAGAATAATACATGTAGACTCTTCATTTTCATATCTTCACACATTGTTCTTCCTTTCCTTTGGAATCAATTTTGGCATTCTATAATAGTAACACTTGTTTTGGTATGCAGTCATTGAAGCTGTTCAAGGAGAAGGTATTGATACATGTACATGTACATTGTAAATGCTTCATCAGGAATATGCCTCCATGCAGTGTTCATTAAAAACCATAGCAGGAGGAATCATTTGGTAATCACACACTGTTCTTTGCATGAGCGCTGGCTCCCAAATGTACCTACTGGTAACTGATCTCAAAGGTTTTTTCTAAAACAAATGTCCCTGCAGTTAAAAAAAAACTGCTAGGGGACCCAAAATAATTTCAGTTCTTCCCGGCAAGTACAAGAGAGATCTCCAGTCCAAAATTCATGACCCTAGCTTGTCCATATCATGAGATATCAAATATAAACCAGAAGTGATGCTACAGTATCATAACAAGCCACCAGGGGGCCCAAATTGTAATAAACCCCAGCAGATCATGTGGTAACCACATACAGTTCTACATACATGTGTGTGCAGGCTCCCATAAATAGTGGGCATATGCTACCTGTACGGTCCCCACCCTGTGATCCTGTAATACTGATAATGTGGTGCAAGCTTATTGTAAATTGGTTTGTGAGAGTGGGTAGGAACTGTTGCTCAGGTGGAGTATCAGCAGGGATTGGGGGCCTGACTCGTGTCGAAACTACATTGGGCCACATTAATGTCATATCTTGGTTTGCATATTACATGCATTTCAAACAATAATGCAGTTCTATCATGAAACTTTTGTGGTGGTTTTATTTTCACGTTTTTTGTCATGCCCTCTCCACCCCTAGTTCATGACACCACGAGTAATATGTCTTCCTTGTATGACTGCGGTTCTACAGAATATTTTTACAATGTAAGGCCACACCAATTTAATTTGTTGGTTCTCGGATTTTTTCAGAAAAAATATGAAGCGACAGGGCGAAAAAAAATAAAAATAAAAACAGGTCTAGGCATCCTATCATAGGCTTAAATGCTATGGAATGAGCCATGAAGTCAACACAAAAGGCTTGGTTAAAATTTAAACATTGAATTTTGAACTTTTAATCAAGCCACTGCAATGATAGATGGGAAAACTGTAACAACTAGGAAGAAAAGGACTTTCCTCAATTGTTGGGGGCAAAACATGAGCATTTTTCAGTTGATTCAGGGCCAGAATCAATTTTTTTTTTTTTGCAAATCAGAAAAAAACGAAGAGGCGAATCCGAGAACCAACAAATTAAATTGGTGTGGCCTAACTGTGAATTTAAAACACTGCCAAAACCTTCCTTTTCAGAGCCCTACAATAAAATAAAACTGCTCCTGAAGTTTCATGATTCACAGTGTATTCCTAGCCCTTCCTGGTGGTGTGTGTGTATGTGTGTGTGTGTGTGTGGGGGGGGGGGCAAGGTAGACATATTGGACTATGAACATTGGAATATACATAGCAACAAAAATGGCGAGAAGTCCAAATTTTAGTAGTACATTCTGCCAACGTGCTCATAGACACAGTTTTACAGAGTAAACAGTCACATGCCAGTTTTCCTCTCAGCCCTTCATTATATGATCTTCTAATATGTTAAATAAAAATGTCTGGGAGCAATGAAATTATATTGTTGTGGCCTTAACAGGGATAATTTGTAGACAGGATCCCAGTGGGAAACATTGCACGAATTCTCAATCTCTTTAGATTGCTTCCAGAAGAGGTAGAATTAATAGTCTTGTCTGTTTCTGACGTGAAAAGCTTTAGAATCAGATGAATTGTGCATTGCAAACTTTTGGCATAATTTTCAGAACATAAAATAGTTGAAAATAATGCTAATATATAAAGGAAAGAACGCTGTTCTTCGTGTGCTGATTTATTTTATGTCTGAGTCATTTGCCATGAAATTTGCATGATAGTAGATTTGTTCATCTTGCTCTCCTCAAGGGCAACTATGGTATTTCATAGTGTCAAAATCATAACACCAGATATCAAAATATCTTTTTTGCATCACTGACAAGTAGATATTCTGTGCTCCAACATCACTGGTTAAAAAAGGCATAGCGTAAAGCTTGCGTATACTCACATGTACCTTTAAGCATACTTTAAGGTGTACCTAATGCTCCTATTTCATACCCTGCTGCAAGGTGCGCAGAAATTCTGTGCAAGAAAACGTCTTGACATTTCTGCCCCTTCCCACTGATGACTCCTGACATCCCTGCAACAGAATGTGTATTAGTCAGGATTGACTGTTACCACCTGTCGTATGTAATCAGCTCAGGCTCCCCTCGTGATGCCGCTTCAAAGGCTGTGTGCTCGTCCTTGTATCACACTCGCCACCCTGTCAAGGGCAAATGTGCATTTCCTGTAGAAAACTTCATGTCTGGTGCACAGCTCTGGAGAACAGAATATGCCGTTCTTTTTTTACCTCCAGAAAAGGAGGGAAGGTACTGTTATCGGCCGTGTTTGTGTGTTTGCAGCTTAGCTTACAGTCGGTTTAAAAATTTCTTATTGGGGACCAGATAATGCATTTTTCTCTTTATATTTGTATTTTCACGTGTTGAATTAGAATATTTTCACCCGTGCTGTATGGTGTGGTATCAGCTATCAACAGCTGTTGCCTACCAGGCTATACCATTCTACTTTCTGAAGGGGGGGGGGGTTAAAGCCTGTATTGTGATATCACAGAGAATGTTAATGTTTGTCATAAGAGATTCGGTAACAGAAGTAAGAAATGACCGAAAAAAAAGGACATGAACTAAATATAATTCTTTTTGTATGTATTTTTTTACCATGTATGTGTAAAAATATGTTCCTTGAGTTATTTCTGGAAATGATGTAAACTGTACCTTTGCTATTATATTTTTTCTGACCCTTACCTCTTCCCTCATGACCTCTATGAAAAGCAGCCTGCAGGTCAATTTGAGCTTCTCATGAAATAAAACAAAGGTTCAAACAAATATAGGAACAGTCCATGTTAATGTAATCTTATGGTATACTGTTTTTGTTTGTTTACTAGATGGAACGTGACCAGGGATGACAGCTTAAACATCACAGATGTCCACGAGCGGTCAGCGTTATAGACCCAGGGCATCCCATCGTCCCTTCTGACCACATCACCCCACTCTGGCCACTGACCATTCCTCCAGCTTCTCAAATGTAAGCATCTCAGACCACAGCGCTGCATTATGTTACATTTTCGTACCCAAAATCTAAATATTTTCATTGAAAATAAAAATGTCATTTCATTGTAGTCTACTTACACTTTTCAACATATTCAATATGCAATTACTTTATCTCACATTTCTGGCATTTATGGTTGGCGCTACAAGAGCCCACACAAGGTGCACTCACTTTGTGGTACCACCACAAAATATCAGAATGTAAACAAACATGGCTGACAGCTGTGTTGCCAACTTTTGAACACATTTGGAAAGACTCATATTTTGGCACTTCCTGACTGTCACTTGCTTGAAATGGAGTAGGTTGATTGAACATACTTTGTAAAGAAAACTGAGCAGAAAATTGACTTTTTGTATCTTCCTAATGTTACATGATGCAGCTTGAAGTTTATAACAGTGTCAGTCTATGATATTAAATCTGCAAAGTTAAAGGTAAGGCCACTCCAATTTAAAGTTTTCAGATTTGCCCTCTTCATTTTTTTGTGATTTAAAAAAATTATGCTCTGAATTGACTCCAAAATGTTCATAGTTTGCCTTAACAGTTGAAGAAAGACCTTTTGCCCTAGTTGTTTCCAACCATCCATACAGTGGTTTGATAAAAAATTTAAAATTCAATGGTTATATTTTAAACTAGCCTGATATATTAACTTCACTGCACCAACCGGGCCATCATAGAATGCCTGAGCCTTTTTTCCTGTCACTTTTTATTTTTTTGTAAAGAAACCCCAAAACCAAGAAATTGAATAGGTGTGACCTAACCATTGAAATCTTGTGAACAGAAGAGCCTGTGTCTGTCTAACTAAGACTTAATGTTGAAGTGAAGGCTACACACAGAACCACACCATGTTCAGCACCACGGACAGACACCATCATCCACACACACAGCAGATTCTGTGCCATTTTCAGTGCAAATTTGTGGGATAGGAGCAAATACACTGAATGAAGGCCCAGTTAACATCTGTTTTTCATGACAATTTGCCACATTTGTGGAAGGATTGACATAACAGGTGATTATCACCTCTTCCATATGTCATCCCAGGGACCAGACTGTAAGATTTTTAGGTTTGAACCACTCACACCAGGAAAGACTGCTACCCTTTTTGGTAAGAGCGGTGAAATTTATAATGTACTTGAGGTGTAGCTTCCTCAAACAGGTCCCTAATTTTAAGTAGATATTAGAAATCTTAGATTTGACGTAAACCTTTAGAGTGTAAAAGAAGTAGGTATTCATTTTCTGTACTCATTTTCACCTGAGTTGAGTGAGGAAATATAGGTGTAAAGTTTTAAGTTAACAACTCTAACCACAAAACCACCTTGTCACCATAGACAACTGTGCCACCATGTTGAGTAACTAACATGCTGTAAAATGTCAAATCATTTGAAAACCTGGAGGGTGATATGTTGCATTTTTATGTACTATCACATGTTTGTTTCTACATGTAGTTTCACTTCACTGGAAACTAATTGGAAAGTCACAGAAGGGGGTGCTCGACTTTTGATAGGCTTAAAATCTCTAATCTGTCTTCTGCATCATTAGGCCACACCAATTTAATTTGTTGCTTCTGGGATCGTCCTGTCCATTTTTTCTGATTTGCAAAAAAAGAGAAAAACAAACAAACATATTTTGGCCCCAATGGTTGAAGAAAGTACTTTTTTTTCTACCTTTCCATGTAACAATGCAATTTTGTTTCATTGAAAGTTCAAAATCTACATGCATTGTTTTAATTATAAACCAGCCTGGTATGTTCACTAATATCATGGCTCATACTGTAACATTTCTGGCTATCATGGGTTGCCTTGGCCTGTTTTTTTTTTTGCCCTGTCGCTTCATATTTTATCTGAAAAAATCCGAGAAACAACAAATATTATTAAATTGATGTGGCCTTAAAATAAAAATAACCTTAGAGCTTGATCATTACTGAAAAGACAGGAAGGTATTTGACAGTCCTTGTGGGTTGGAAGTAATGAATGCAGTGAGCTATACAACTTGTTTGAAAACTGTCAGGAGCTAATTTAACACTGTGTCAACTTGATTAAACACATCGGTTAAAACAGAATCTATGGTGGTTGAAATTGAGAGAAAGACCTTGTTAACACTCTGCACGAAAAGTTGACATGGAAATAATGTAAAAATGTTTAAAACAGAATGTTTTATAAGTCTAGATCATAACTTTAGTTATCTTGTTTGCAATTTAGCCATCTAAGCAACAAAGAAATAACCAAACAAAAATGCCAGTGAAATAAAGTCTCCTTGGCAGGTAAAACTGAGTGATTGTTCCAGAGTTGACAGCTTACACGTCCTGGGTCAAACCACTCAGTATTACAACCATGTAACCTTACTGCAAATTGGCAAGTAAATCCACGGCTTTCTTTGACTAACCATTCATTAGTACTACTCTAAAGCTCTCCCCAAATCAACTCACGTTGAGCCTCTTGGTAAGGCTGTATAATTGCATGAATACGGACTGTTGTTTTGGTTGACAAGTAGGAAAAGAATAGATTTAAACCCTGGTAATTCATTGGAGAGGATGTAGAAATGCTGGAAAGGCTACAAAAGTGAAATTCCCTGATTCAACTTCTCAGAGACTGACTAAAAATGAACAGAACAAGAAATCACTGCACAAAATACATTTTTTAAGGCATTCCTAAATATCAAACTCTTTCTAACGGAGAAGAGATATTTTGTAATATTTTATTAGCGCTTACTTCTCGGTTCATTTGGCTAGTTTTTTTTTCTGACATCTGCTTGATTTTCATTCATACGGTAATTTCTTTGACACCCAGCTTCATATGGTAATGACTTTGACACCCAACAGCCCAATGTGACACTTGTGTAAAGACGGAGGCATTGTGGCCCCAGACAAAAGATGTGGAATCAGTGGAGAATGTAACAGCATGGCATGCCTGTAGCCAGGATTTTGAATGGGGGGTTCTTCCCACTGCTTGAGGGGACCAGCGAGGGCGAAAGTTTCCTAGGGGGTCCAGGGGCATGCTCCCCCGGGAAATATTTAAAAATGAACCTTCTGAAATGGCCTTTTCTGCGTGTCTTAGAGTATTTCAAAGAAAAAATCAGAGATAACTTTTTCCAATGACAAAGTGAGCCGATTTCGTACGATTCCAGCCTCGCTGGTGACACAAATCAGTCCATCTTTTAAAGAAAAATCTTGGACCTTTAGATAAAAAGTGGACCAAAAAGTGGACCTTTGAGCCTTGTGGCTACGGGCATGCATGGAGTTAGAAGGAAACATGGTAACAGCAAGCCTGGATACTAGGAATCATATTGATCTTCTAACCCTCATGCCTGTAATACAAGGTCAGACTCGGTGGAGAGTAGCGGTATGATTGTCCCATTATAGGCTCATGGGTGGATTATTGAACTGGCCTCTGTGGATCAGATGTTGATTGCAGGCCCTTTGCACAGAAACGTGTGCTTTGATCAAGTTCACTCACCTCTCAGGGGTTGATTGCTGATGTACTGTGAAGGGATTTAACCAGGATGGGCTGAACTGCAACAGGCTTTGAGTGACAAATGGAACGTTTCTGATTCAGTAGTGCCAAACATTAGCAGCTTTTAGATTGACAGTGTGGTCCAGTGTTGTAGATTTTGTTGGTCGTTGTTTGATTTTGGTGTAGAATTTTTGAGCAGGCTGTACGTGAAAGAACTAACAAGGATGACAAGGCTGACAAGGATGTAAGATAACAAGCCAGCTGAATTTTGTACAACAGTCATCCACGAATAGAATGTTTTCTGTTTGCAATACTCTGTTCTGTTTGGGTTACGATGTATGTGACCATGTCCTTAGGTGACAAGCTGAAATTGCCGGAGCTTTATATTAAGCCCCTATCACACATAGCTGAATATGACCTCCCAAACAGTGGCGAACTCCCCACAACCATGGTTAGCAGTAGGTCTGAAAGGAGGTCTGATGGTGTTCAGTGAGGTCGGCTACTTTTCAACTGTTTCAAACGTGGACAGGAGGTTCGACTCTGGTTGACTCATGTAGTTGACTGGTGTTTGGGAGTACATGTAGGTCAGCAGTGTTTAGGGCATGTTCAGGAGTCAAAGTTGACTCAAATTTAACTCAAATTCGATTTGATTTGTATAGAAAGGTAGAACGCTCTTGAACCTCGTTTGGTTGGTCATCAGTAGGAGGTTGTGAATGTGTGACCGGGGCTTTTTAGGAGACAAGCAATAATTGCAAAAGCTAGCCTATGTAACCCGTGATATCAAGTTTCTGTGGTGTTACAGTGCCATTGCCACTGCGGACGTGCCCATTTCTGTGAGTCAACGTGCGACCTTGAAAGTCAAGGTTAGGTTTTGATGGCTGCATTTTTTGACTGGCACATAGAGAACCTTTATTCCACCAATTACCTTTAGAAGTGAACGGTTCCAAACCCGCTCCGCTGCACAATCAATGCTCGCTGACTCGGCATGGCTCTCTGACACCTGTGACCCCCGGAGCACCTGAAGGACAGACAGTTCTGGTTTGAAGGACACAGAGTCAGACCTGATTGACATTCAGTTAGAGCTCTACACCTAACATGTCATGTAGTTATCAAACTTTATCAAACTTGAAAAGGGAACCTACAATTATTACAATCTTTGTTTGAAGACAAAACGACATGCGAACTTTTGTCTCTCTTAAGTCCTCACATCAACGACTTTAAAAGTTTTAACACATTTAAGTCAGATGTCCCTTTCATAAAGGAAAATTCTGCATACTCCAACTGATATGATTAGTTTTCCTGGTGTTACACTGCTTTATGCCTTTAGCTTTAGCATTTGACATGATGTTATGTCAACCAAACATGAGATGACAGACAGGCAGGGTAGAACACTTGTTGTTGTTAGCCTTGTGAGGCAGGTGAATGACCTACAGGGTGATAAACATGAAGGTTTTTATCCCGTAGGCACACATGACTTTTGTGTCCTTACAAATAATTGTTCCCCTGGGGATATCTGCATAGTTGCCCCTTTATGATCACAATGACAGCACGGGTATGCAGAGCATGTGTGTGTGCATGTTGTTTTTGGAATAAGGTCATTGTGGGTTAAACTCAACATCTCTTATCATGATTTTTGTCCATCAAAGATGACAGCAAAATTTTTGTCTGTCATGAGCGGTTCTGTCAAATGATGGAAAGGCAGACGCTGGCTAGAACACTGAATTATTATTCCTATACACATGTACATACTGTATTAGGTAGTATACATAAAAAAAATCCTTGCTTGTTCAAACAACCCACCCCATAATTGGCATAAAATTTTGTAATAAAACTTTTTGTAGTTGTGTAAAAGAATAATTTTCCTGGGTCTCTTCAGTGGATGATTATAATAATCAGCCTTTTTACAATCTTTGTGTTAACTCTAGTAAACTTGACATGTACAGCTGGGGAATGGTGACATCCTGTTTTTGTCAAGTTGAACACTTATGTTTGTTGTCAGTGCAATTATGGGTTTCTTTAACCTTCTGCATGCTGAGATACATGTAGACAAATTTGTATTGGTTGTAGAATTAGGCAGCAGGCGGAAGGTTAACAGAAGATACATGTATTCTATGATACATGTTCATGGTTTTAATCTTGATATACTTGTAACGTTACATGCATATTAGGGTACTGCATCTACTATTGTATAGAAGGCTACCAATTTCTCCAAGCATTAGCTTTGATGGCTAAGTCACTCCTTCAGCCAATTGCTACAGCCTAATGCCATGCTAAGATTCAATCCTAAAGACATTATCAAATTTGCGCAGAACTCCTTCAAACATTTTGCAACAGTCACTTTTCTTTTGCAACAAGTGTAGCTGCTCTTTGCACCACTCCATGAAGTATTAGTTCAGCTAAAAGCACTGTCTAGTGTTCTAAAGTGAAGTTATAACCAGATTACTGCCGACCTTGCACTTGGCTGATGGCATCATGTCGACACTCGCCCGAGTGCCTTCTGCCATCAACACTAACGTCTGCAGCCATTGCTAATCCAATTTTCCCTCTTCTCCCCATTCTAAGATTGTTCAGAGCCTGTCTTCGGACAGTGATAAAGCTCTTATGAAGTGTTATTGCCAACGTGATGCCAGGGCAGACCCAAAATTGCCCGACGAAAGGAACTGCTGTCAGTTAATGTAAGACTGATGCTGACAGATACATTCGGTAACCCAATCAAGTCCAGGAGGGGGAGAGAGCACTTGGCAAGGATTTGACAAGAAATTTAATTACCGTTTGATGGATCCTGTTTTTTCTTCACTTACCATGTCTGACCAGGGTAACACTGTCTGTACCAAGAAGTAAAACATCTGTTTATGATTTAATGAATGAATGATCTTTATTCCCACATTCTTGCCCACATGGGCTAAATCTAGTACAATGTACAATGTAGTTTCACGTGAAATGTTTTTGTAAAGAATCAGTCATTTGTAGCGACCTGAATAGTTAGGGAAACAAAACAACTAATTAAGAGCTATGCTGCACTTCATTTATCATTTACAAAACAGCCCAACATATAAGGCTATGATATCATTAATTTAAATCAGATTCTATAGAAAAATAAAATTTGCTTTTAATTAGTGTTGTCTTCCTCTTTAGCTAATAACTTTGTTTTGTCATGCCTTCCACAGAAATACTGCGAAATTAATAAAATATATTCATCTAAATTTTAAGCAAGGATAATTAGGTTGTTGGGAAAAGTTGTAAGAATTAGGAATATCTCTTTCAGTGTGCTTTTTGTTGTAAAATCACTGCCAGTATTTATGATAAATAATTTTAGCAAATACCCAAGTGACTGTGCTTAATCTGTGTGATGAACTCCAAATCATCCTAAGCTTAGGATTAGGATTTAATATGAGATCCACTTCCGCAATATCATAAGGATTAGGACAACTAATACAGGTTGAGAGGATTAGGGTTGGATAAGGATTTATGATATGTAAGTCAGTGATTTCATTTTTCCAACTTTCGGCCAGGCTGTAAGGCCACACCAGTTTAATTTCTTGGTTAACGGATTTTTCTAGAAAAAAAATGGAGTGGGCGGGCAAAAAAAAACTAAAAATAAAAACAGGCCTAGGCATCCTATTATGGCTGAAAATGGTACGATAGGAGCCATGAAGTCAACACACCAGGCTGGTTCAAAATTTAAACAATGAATTTTGAACTTTTGATGTTAGCACTGCAATGAAAGGTGAAATAACTGTAACAACTAGGAAGAAAATTACTGTTTTCAACTGTTCAAGGCAAAATATGAGCATTTGTTGCAAATCAGAAAAAAATGAAGTGGGCGAATCCGTTAACCAAGAAATTAAATTGGTTAGGCCTAAGATGGATATTGGGCAGATGCCTGGGCTTTATTCAGTGCCTGAAATGTGTGCACGTTGGGTTCTGCACATAAGCCCAGGACTTTACCAGTTGACTGCTTCATTCAGTTATTAAATGAATTTGAAAGCTGATAGGATTCACTTGGCAATGAACTTGCAACATTCACTTATCAAGGTCAAGGAAGGGTTATGGTTACATTACATTCAAAATCATGTTATCTTAAAGTCATACCACTTTTAGTTAGTACATGTATCGGGGCAAAAATGCCCAAATCTTGAATGTGTTGTTTGGATATAATGTACATGGCTTTTGATTGAACCAGCCTGGTAGAATTGTGATTTTTACCGGATTTTATGTTGATTGGGATTCTGCCAGATCAGAGTTTCTACCCACACATGTATATAATACCCAGGTACATGAACATGGCGAAAGCAAAATGATGTTCTACAAAATACATAATAATTTAGAAGCATAATTCTGATACTTGCAGCTGTTGCAGGTGTTTAAAAGTTGTTAGCAATAAGTTTGTTATCATAGTATAATATACAATCATGTAGTTCTGAAGGACTTGTTCAGGCTATGAATTCTGAACTTAAGTCAGTTGTGAAAACACAATTTTAGCCAGTATATTGTGTACTATGTTTTGTTTGAGCTGTAAGTTGGTACATGTACATGTACTATCATGTAAATGATACAAAATTTTGAAACCTTGTGTCCATTTCTCTTTGCTACAGTTCCTGTGCCGAGCAACATACCGCCTTAACCCTGGTGCAGACTGGTAGACTGGAACAGCTGGAACACCTGAAACTCTCTGCTGCAGCTATCCAGCACCTGCAGCAGCTACACATTAGACACCAGACAGCACCTGTATCATCTGAACAGCAGCCAATCTGATATGGAGCACCTGACAGTCAAACAGGTGGTCACCAGTACACCTGCAGGTGTCTGGTACCACCTGGTGCAGCTGGATAGCATTTCGCAGCTGAATCAACAGAAAGCAAATTACCTTTTTTAGGACTGTTTTCACCACTTCATCCTACATGAATCCTACAGCCACCTAGTGAACTTCAATGGAATAACATCTTGCCGTTTCACTTTGGGTGGATGGAATCCTACTGATCAGCATGTGATGACACCTGATTGGCTGAACAGCACAACACATCTACTAACCACACCTGTACAGCTACAACCTACAGGAATTTGAAACAGGTGCAACTATCAGCATAGTGCGTGCATACATGTGCACCTAGAGACATCTTTTTTTGTGGAAATTTTGACAAAACTGACAATGAAAGTGTTATAAATCAAAAAAGGTCTGTCCTATTTGTCTTACAGTACCTGTTCTATCACCCACTGACTCTACAGGTTGGGAACTACAAACATGTAAGGGCCACGTTCACCGTGTGTTGTCTAGGGTTGTTTCAGAACTGAGACAAAAATGGGAGGGAAACCACTTAATTACGTTTTCTACTTTGAGTGGCCAGTGCCAACATGTAAAGTTCTAATTTGTGTTCATCTACTTTTTTCAGGCAGCCACCACCAATCATATATGATGCCTAAGTATATATATTACCAGGGTAATGTTCTTGTTGAATAACAAATACCTCAGTTGTTATAAATTGCAAGGGATCTTGTCACTTAAAGAAAAAAAAAACTTTCTAGCCGTCTTGCCCCATTTACTCTCATTTCTGAAACAGCCCTAGCTCGAGAACACACAAAGACTTTACAAGCCTCGGCAGTGTTTTAACAGAAATGTGGTGTATCAAACTAGATGTCACTTGCACACTGTGTGTTTTTGATGAAATTCCATTCCCTGACAGTGATTTCGACATGTGTCTTGTATGCAACTGTTACAAACATGGAGACAGAACCTGGCTAACTACAGTGTCTGAATTTTGCACAGAAGTCATATTTTGAGCTACACATTGAAGTTAAGTGGTACAGTGCTCATAGAAATTAACTTCTAGCTACCTACACTATTGTATTCTTTTATATGACTTACATATGTATGGCTCAAAATACCACCAGCACATGCAAGTTAGTGCAGGTAAAATTGGAGCTGTTCAGGTATTTCTGATGTCTACCTGCACCTAACCTGCACTGGTCCATGTACTGGGTATATGCAGGTTAGTGCAGGTAAAACTGGAGCTGTGCAGGTATTTCTGATGTCTACCTGCACCTAACCTGCACTGGTCCATGTACTGGGTATGTGCAGGTTAGTGCAGGCAAAATTGGAGCTGTGCAAAAACTATTTTGAGCCCTGGACATACATTGTAGTAGATACTAGTAGCTGCCTCCGTCAGTCACGTGAGCTGAATTTTCACTTGTGAATAACAGTAAAAAAATGCCGGGCTGTTCTACGTGTATGTAGCAACACATAGGTGTACCAACACCTGTAACCTGGAGGACTTTTTTTGTCTGCTGTGCACACTTTCTACTGGACAGCTGCCAAACATATAGACGTTACACTGGTCACTATACAGACGTCTGATATTTGTCGAGCAGGCAGAACTTTCACTGGCGTATCGTTGTAAAACGACTTGAAGCCTGCTGACTTCTAGAAAATGTTGGCATATTTTTCTATAGTGCGAGAATGCTGCAGATTCAGTGGTCTTATTCCGCAGGGTGCTGTGGGGTAACTCAAGGAATCATGGGATATGTCAAGGAATTATGGGAGTCCTCAGGGAAGTGAGCGTGTTGCACTTGGCATTTGTGGGTATTGCACGGGATTATGGGATGGCTAAAAGCGGTATTTATAGTACACAGCAGTGTTGTTACTTGAAGCATTGCGTGATTTCGATTTCCTATGGTTGTGAAATGGAACAACACTGAAAATGTTGAATTGTTGTAATAGTTTTGTAATTTCCCCCCCACTTGGTACACTTTGTGAGAGTGGTGTTTTCCAATGATGATGTACATAGCAGATTTTCCTAACCAAGGACCGTATAGTAAGTGTTTTGTATTCACAGTGCCCTAGTACCTTGCTTGCATGTTGATTTACAACAATGAAGTCGTCACAGTGTCGTCTTTTTTTCTGATGGAACAACAAGCAGCCTCCGATGTCTTTGTTTGGTGACTCTGGAACGTGATATTTTGTATGGTGGAAGTTTTTAAATACGTAATTATATGATGAAAAAAGTCCAAAAAGTGGTTGAGGTTCGAGTTGTGAATTTGTTTAATGTTAAAAGTATTTTATGGAGGCCAGAATATTGTGATAGAAAAAATGACATCGCTGGTTATGCATAAAGAATTCTTATGCAGCGTTTTGCCTTTGCCATGGCAGGGGCATTTGTATATTTGTGAGTTGGAGACCACATTGGTCCAAGAGTGGATTGTTAGCATTATTAAGAATCATGTTCCCCATAATCTGTTCTGTTCCTACCAAATTCATAATGTAAGATGCCTTGAAATTCACAGTGACAAACATGCAACTCTTGTATCGGCTCTTGACGCCAGAATGTAACTTTGAGTTGAAAAGAAAAACATGTCTATAAAGATATATTTTTTTTAAATATCACATGACATATAAAAACTGCTATAGTGTAAAAAAAACAACAAGTTGTTTGTGCATCATCTCGTGTATACTAGCAGACAACATGCCAAAATGCAAACTACACACCAATGCAGCAAATGGAGTAACAGCTGCGAATGTTCGGGCACAACTGATTACAATACTCCATCAGAGGTCACTGACCTCCACAGAGTAATAGTTTGAAAACACACTGAAAAGGACTGAGCTTTTAAACTAAACCAAACAAAGAAAACTTGTTGGCAAAGTTCTTTGGTCAGACTGTTACACAGAGTTGTACTGATCAGATTTTAATTCTTTTGTTATCCTGTGAATTCCGGCATCTTACTATAATTTCATCTCACTACTGCATTCTTACTATTTTACTTGCAGTTATCTATACCTGAGAGAAATTAAAATCTAAACCATACCTTTTGTTGGTAGTAAAAGAAATTACTGACACTCAAGTAAATGTAGAGAAATGGAGAGGACATGAAATTTGTAAGTCTGCCTTCAGTGCTATTTCCGAAATGATATTTGTTGATATTTACTCAAATAGTGTGATGGAAAAAAACGGTGACATTATATCACAGTCTGTTGTTCAAAAATGATTACTGTTAGTGAGTTGTGCAGATTGTCACACATTATGTAGTGGACAGCCATGTTGTTGTCTTGTTCGTTAAGGCATTACAACTATCCAGTTAATCAAGGTATTGAAAATTATGACTCATTAGTATATACTTGTGTACGTTTTTCCAGGTTTACATTAAATGGAGAATTGTTTTTCTGTGAATTGTTACCGACCTATTTGAGTCATTAGAAGCATGTCGACAATGTGTTATAACCTGTTCTTGAGCTTCCACTTTTACTCAAGTTGTCGTTACTTGTGAATTCAGAGTGCTTGACTCTTTGTCCAATGTTTAAAGTGATCAAACTGTACTTTTCATGTTCTAATGTACAGAACTGTTAGTAGGTTTTGCTGTTTGGCACTTGTGGTTATTTTTAGGTGCAGGGAACTCAGTTCTGATTGGTTGTGTTGTAACCAATGAGAGGGTTGCTGCAAGCTGATTGGTTGAAACAGCAGCCAATCAAAGTGTACTGTACACATCTTTTACTATTATTCTTGACTGATGATGACTTTTGTCAGTGGTTTTATGTAAAGACTGACTGTAGGAAACAGCCAAACTAAAGAAATTACCTTAGTGGTTAATGATGCAAATTGTATCAGGTGAAGTTAGTTCTGTGATATGTGGCATGTCGGTAAATCCTAAATGTCTTTCTACAGTCAGTCTTATGTATGTGTTCACTTAGCGAGCTTGATATGTACATTTTTGCTGCATCTTTGTCCTTTCCTTGAAGGAAAGGACACAGAGACTTATTCTTTGACCTCAAACATCATATTTAGTTCCTGTTATTTATTATGTTAACGATGGAGGAAGGTTGGGAGGTTGTGTTTGTATTGTTATAGGGTGTGTGGGACGTTAACGACAAATGTAATATATTCAGTCATAATTTATTGCTACTCCTCTGTTGTTGTAGAGTAATAATTTTTTGTAAGAACAGGTCCATAGATGGTTGGTAAGGCGCTGTAACATTGTACAGAGGATTTTGTATATATGTATCCCGACTGCACCTTTTTAATGCTTTGGGGTGGTTCTATAAGAAGTTAAGGTATGGGGTATTTGAAGTGTAACAGTTGGGAATTTTGTACCGAGAACAAATTATTTCCCTGTAAGGGATGTGACAGTTTCTGTATTTTTCATATATTTTGTAAAGGTAATTATAATAGATGACTGCATGCCTATACAGAAAAGTTAACTGTATCCGTTTGCATATAGTGGATGGGTTATGAGATGTAAGTGTACACTATCCACAGTTTTTGTATGCCTGTGTAAAGTATTGCTGGTTAATAGCTTTTAAAAAGCGGTTTTGGAGCTGTAGTGCAGGTTGGTTGGTTAGACAGTAGCAGTTTACTCCGTAGAAGTACAAGTTACAACTTACATCTGATGGTGTGTTCGTTCTACTTGTTGGTACATTACAATTTTGTAAAAATTTTTGGCAGGACAGAAACTGCTGGCGTGGTGTGTTTTTATTTGTCTCTTTTCCTTTGTAGTGTATACAAAACTACGCCAAAAAGCAGTTGCAAGCAAGTGGATATGATTTTGGAAAATTATTGAAAAATCATATCCAGTTGCTTGAGTATCTGCTTTTTGGCATATCTTATTACCAGGATGTCTAACCTTCATCGACATAGACAAAACTACATTTTCACAAGACAACACTGAAATAAATTTTGATTCCAGGGTTGGGAATACAGTATCTTTAAAAATAAACCTGAACAAAGTAATGAAACCAAAGAAGAAGCTGGGTGTATTTCCTTGGATGAATGAAAATAAGGCTGTACCAATTAATTTGGTTCCCAACAAAAAAGGTTCTGAATCAACTCGAAAATGCCCATATTTTGGTCCTAACAGTTGAAGAAAGTCCTTGTCTTCCTGGTTTGTCCATCTATCAATGCAGTGGTTTGAATTCAAAGTTAAAAATACATTGTTTGAATTATAAAACAGTCTGGTATATGTTAGCTTCAAAGCTCCTAGTGTAGCATTTGGGGTACCATAGGACGCCTAGGCCTGTTGTTGCCTGTTTTTTTTCCTGTCGCTTAATTTCTTTCTGAAAAAATCTAAGAACCAACAAATGAAAAGGTACCTATAAATGCAGAAATTGACAAAAATGAAGTAAAAATTGTGTAACAAGAATTCCGTGGCAACTTCAAGGCGGTTTATTACTTTGAGTTTTACAAAAATCCTCGAAAAGAATCTGACGCTAAAGCCTGAGAATCAAACTTTGTGGTCCAAATATGACACGGCTCACAACTATTTCCTCATTTACACCATCGCATTTCACATTTCTCCATTACTTTTCATGACTTTTACAATTTGATTAAATTGTATTGTCAACAAGGCAAAACCCTGGTTACCACATCTTCACAGTCACATAAATCTCTAGTCATTTACATTCTCTCTTTCTCCACAAACATTCTAGAAACTGTTATAAATACACAAGACAAACAAGACAAAATGCCCTGACAATGCTTACAACTAGTACAAGGTGTTACTGGGACCAACACATTCATGTGTTTAGAAACACAGCTACAATTGTAAATTCAGTGTAACCACCACTATTAGCAAAATAGTTTAATCCTTAAAAATAATTTGCAACATTTTTTGAAGCAGTTTGGAAGAATTTGCAGAAGCATAACATGATGTAAATTTAACTCAGCAGCCTGAATTGATTGCATGTAAAAGTCAAACTAAAACACCTAAATAGATGTAAGTATACATGTACATTGTAGATTCCCATGTACGATGTGCTTCCTTGGCACATGTAATAAAATGCAAGAACGTCTGGTCACTTTAGGACATTGAAATCTGATGAGACATTTTCACATTATTAAGTTTCTTATACCAATGCAATGTTCTAGCCTTTTTCTGCCATCTCAATTTTTTTATTTTTGACATCATTTTGAGTGTCAAAGGAGTGACAATCCTAGGGGGGCCTGGGAAAACACTATTTTGTACATTTTGAGGGACAAATCGTGAGGCAACTTGAGCGGGAAAATTCCGTCAAATGACGGACGATGGCTAGAACACTGTACCAATGTGTCGTGGTAACTTGAGACAAATAGTTACCCAAAATAACTACATTAATTCCACAAGAAAAGTGTACTGTCTTAATGTTATCAACACATAATGCAGCTATAACGTTTTCTCACTTCAATCAGTAAGTGTGAATGACATCATTAGAAGTGAACAAAGCTAAAGTACAATAACGTACATTGCATGTGTGATAATATGACTGATTAATGTTGAGCATCATACAAAATACAGTCAGCTGTCTTTGAAGTTTGTCATTGCAATTTTCGTTCTTCTGTATTATTTGGCATCCTCTTCGTAACTCGAGAGAGAAAGAACGACATGTTGGCAATTAAACGTGCAGACCACGAAACTGCTTGTATCACGGGAGATAATTATGATTGGCAACGTCCAAATATGTTCTCATATTGAAGACGCACAAAACATATTTCTAACAATCTGAAGCCCCTGTTATACATACTATAGCCAATTGCAAATATGGTTATAAGTAGGCTGGGAGCAAGGTCGGCTGTGGTTTAGTGACGTCAGCTACTGTTCGGCTGAGCCAAAAATTTAACGTTTCATTTGGGTGTGGACAGGAGAATACGACAGGGTTGGCTCGTGGTTGGAAGTAGGTTGCCTGTGTTTGGGGTGTGTCAAATTTGACTAAAATTTAACACAAATTCAATTAGATTTGTATGGAAAGGTGACCTAAATTTGCTCTGACTGCTCCTGAACCCCAGCCAAACCTTGGTTGATTGGTCTTGGGAGGAAGGTTCTGAATGTGTGACAGGGGCTTTAGAGGAGGTTCAAATGATGATGGATAAGATACATATCCAGCATGTTGGCAGAACGTACCTTGCCTGTGTGAAACCCATCATGTATTGTGCATAGCACTTCAGCAGAACATCTAAGGTCGTATTCGCATCTGCAATGGGCAAAATTTTTTGACAACGTTGACCAACAAAAACCATGAAAAATCTAGTTTTGCAAAGGCACATTACGTTCTGCCGACATGCTTACAAATGTAGATACTGTATCTGCCTGTGATGCAAGCACTTGTTGGTCGGTGAAACTGTTATGAAGTTCTGACCCCTCGAGTTGATTTTGTTCATGTTGCAGAAAATATTGTCCTTTCTGAGGTCCCGACTCGGTTCTCTGTCACACCATCTGATGGGAGCCGTCTCCTATTTTTGCCACCAGCTGAAAAATAGAAGAGATGACAGACTTATATTTCAAGCCATTTAGACATGTGTTGTATGATAGCTTTAGAAAAATACAGGACAGTCACAGAAATGTTGTACATGTATAAAATTCAGCTGTTTTGTGATGAAAAAGGTTAGCATAGATAATCCTTTGTGGTAGTTGGTGATGTACTTGTACAAGACAGTTACATACAGTTACTGTACATGTGTATAATACTAGCAAATATTAGTATGTACTGTATACACTGTAAACTTCCTTGTTGCTGATGCCACGTGTCTGTAAGGTCACATTACCTACAACTGGTGATTGGAATTCTGAGAAAAACTGCAGTAGGCCAGTGAAATATTCAATTTAAAGGCATCCATGTAGTGTCATGTACATGTATACTGAGTCCAGTTAAAGGCAGCCAAAGGGTTTTCAGGGCAGCAAAACTGGATTTTCAAAGTCAATTTTTTTGGTCATTTAAGTTATATAAGCCCTATCCCATAGCATACTGATATCTGTGAGGCAAAATGTAGTCACTGACGGCAAACGTGTTGTAGGCTGATTCTAGCTATTTATTGGAGGTACAGTGTACCGAATGATAAAGGGAGTCTCCTCACGCAGTTTTTTGTGGCTATTTTAAACACTAAGTATGAAATTATGACAAAAATGTGCTAAGAAACGGCAGTAAATGTCAATCTCATCCAGAATATTTGCAGCCTTCAAATTACATTGGATGCCATATTTAATTACCAACATAGATTAACTTTTACTGTCCCACACTCACAACAAGTTTGCAAGTGAGCTACAAGTACTATTACCCCCTGACCCAAACCTCTGGTAGGTACCTAGGCAAACACTCACTCCTAGTCCTAAAGAGCTGCTTGACAGATAGAAAATGATTTTAATGTTTATGTGGCTACAGGGAAATTATGTCCAAAGTACATTGTACTTATCACTCTGATCCTGTGTTGCAATAAACCACTCGCAAAAACACTTAAGATATTAGATTGCCTTCCAGGTGAGAGTGGATTGCTGTACAGTCAACAGGACAAGTTTACCCCTGGGGACTCTAGCCTAGCAGCGTTCAGCCAGTTTTAGTTTTTTTCATCATCTCAATTTTGTTTGACATAACATCATGTCCAGCAGCAAAGATGTGAGGCACAACAATTCTAAGGCCACACCAATTAAATTTGTTGGTTCTCGGATTCACCTCTTCATTTTCTTCTGATTTGCAAAAAAAAAAGATTCTGGTTCTGAATCAACTCAAATATACTCATATTTTGCCCCCAACAGTTGAGGAAAGTCCTTTTCGTCTTGGTTGTTAGTTTTTCCATCTACAATGTATCAATGCAGTGGTTTTATTGAAAGTTCAAAATTCATTGTTTAGATATTAACCCAGCCTTTTGTGTTGACTTCATGGCTCCTATTGTAGCATTTGGGGCTATAAATTATAGTATAATAGGATGCCTAGACCTGTTTTTATTTTTTTTCAACCTGTCACAGACTTCATATTTTTGCTGAAAAAAATCCAAGAACCAACAAATTAAATTGTTGTGGCCTTAGAGGAAATTTTAAAATCTTGACCCTCTCTGAAATGCTATTTCCTACATTTTGAGGGGTAATTTTAGCTGGTAGACTAAGCTTAGTTATTGGCATCTCTTTCCATGTCTTCACACACCGATTTTTGTCCCTCAAAGATAACAAAAGTTTTGTCTGTCATGAACGGCAAAGTTCTGTCAAATGATGGAAAGGCAGATACTGGCTAGAACGCTGTATTGGAGTAAAATTCCTGACTAATATTTCTTATGATACCAATGATTATGAATGTCAAATGGTTCTGTGCACACTTCTTAAGTTTAATATTATTGTATATTTTGTTACAGTTTTATCTGGTTCTTTTTTTTAGTAGTAGTAGTACTAGTAGAGTGGTAGTCTCAGTGTGTCTGCCTGTGCCATGTACATGTATACATTTGACTCTACCGGTATTCCTTTCTGGAAAAACAAACAAAAACCTGTGTGCAAAAAAAAAAAAAAATAGAGAGACTTAGTGTACTTTTGAATCCAAATTCGAGTGTTGTTGCAAGTTCTCTTAATTTTTAATGTCATTGTTTAGGGTTTTTCTGTAATCAAATTATAGATCATTCACAATCTTTCCTATTCCTAAACCCTCAGGCCCAAATCCTGATCTTCTATCTCTGCACAAACACGTACCAAGAAGTTTGAGGCAACAAAAGTGAGAGTCGATCTGGTCATTACAGTTTCTCCTTATCCTGGAACATTATCATGTAGTGCTGTGTACCTAAACCCACATTTAGGTTCAGGTCCGGATTCAAATACAGAGGTTTAGGTTCAGTTCCGGACTTGTAAGTCCGGACCTAAACCCATGACATATACAAGATTGCATTGTTGGCAACCTTGCAATGTTGTCTGGGGAAAACCTTGGCCACATAACATGGAGGCCGACACTTGGCGATGCCTGATGGCAATGTTTTCTTCATTTTGCAGCACAGATTTTGCAATCTTTGGTAGGTTTTAGGTGGTTTGGAAAGAAAAGGGGTATGTGACATGTTTTTTTTTTGTAGTAAGTCTGGAATCGGTTCTTGACTTTTAGTTTTTTTTTTACTTGAACCTAAACATTTTTACAAGTCCAGAACCGGTACAACAAACCGGTACACAGCACTATTATCACCTCCAGGGGGCCCCCTGTAAACATGGCTACAGGAGGGGGGGTTAAAATACCAACACTGGTAGGGGGAGGTCAGTTATGCCCCTGGTCAGTGGTAACATGTCCGTAGACACGCACCACACATACCAGGCCACTGTCTGGACAACATGGCAGCTGAAGCAAGGTCATTCACTGGGCTCCAAGCAGATGCAGGGTTGGGAGCAGTGTTCTAGCCAGCCTGAAATTTTCTGTCATCTCAGTTTTGTTTGAGTCTTTGACGTAACATTATCAAGTCATTATCTCTTGTGTAAATCTTGTTTAAATCCTGATTGACATCCATGTCTAAGCCGTGTAACAAGTGGTTAAAACTCGTGCAAAAGTCGTGTAAACTGTCTGCACTAATCAGCTGTTATTGTATGTGGCTATCTACAACGTACAACAACACACAATCACACAAACATCTACAAACGTTTTACACAAGAAATGAACGTGATTTAAACAAGAAGTGAACAGCTTTTGCACACGTTTAATTTGGAGAAATGCACGGCTTCCATTGTAATTTACATACGTGTAGATGGGAAGTTATTGGAGATCTGTACTATATACATATCTATTTGATTCCAGAGCCTGCCAGTGTTAGAATGCACATGTAACATGCCTCTGTGCCCGTCACATCCAGCTCTTTATTTTCCCCTGCTGAGTTGGAACATTCCTGAAACAACTGGCTCCAAACAGGGGCAGCCTCTTTATGAGCAGCTGTCAATCATCATGATTGACATGAAGGATGGCACCACACAAGTGTCCAACTCTGGTAGAACAAAGAGGGTTCCAATCTGCCGAGCTGCACGTACATCACCGTAATAAAAGTGCGACACACTTGTAACAAATGGAAAGAAGAATCATACATGATGTCCCTAACCAAAGCTAGGTTGCTCGTTTTTACCTTATTAGTCAGAGTGAGGAAAATGGACAGTGGACACAACAGTGGGACCTAAAACCTGAACCCCCTTGTTTAAGTCATGCTGCACCAGATTGTTCTTTTTCTGCTTTTTGTATAATAACTCGCGTTGCCAAGTTCGTGCCCAACAAAGGAGGGCTATAAGGTGCATGTACCAAGATGGGCACTACCTGGGTTTGAACCCAGCGTTCAGTGCTGCCGCCAGCCTGGCTTAACTAGTATATTGGAAGTCAGGCATGTGGATCGGCGGATTGGTTTGTTCCGGAGAAGTCGCAATTGGTGGTAGTGGATCGCACTCGACACGTTTGACGACATTCAATGGTATACTGGTACTATAGGTGAGGTATTTGGACAGAAAATAGCGTATCAAGACCCATCTGCATAATGATCAGTGACATCTTACTTCCTTCGCTGGCAACTGTTCACTTGAGACGGAGGAAACTCCATCTCGGACCCCCCACTGAAGGATCCCACGATAGGGTCCGAGGTGGTAGTGACAACAATTCTAGGATTACCGTTGCCAGAAACATCTTATTACCTTCGCCAAGAAGGTTATGTTTTCAGGGGCGTTCGTGTATGTGTGTGTGTGTCTGTCTGTCTGTCTGTCTGTCTGTCTGTCAACACGATAACTTGAGAAGGTCTTGATGGATTGTCTTGATACTTGGTAGGTGGGTAGGTCTTGATGAGACCTCAAAATGATTAGATTTTGGGCCACCTGGCGGCTTGTCATGGTACTGCAGCAGAACTTCCGGTTTTGATATCTCAAGATCCAGACATGCTTGGGTGACGAAATTTAGATGGTAGATAGCTCTTGTGCTGGGGATAAAGTGACATGAGTTTGAGCCCCCTAGTTGCTTGCTCTAGAACTGCAGGGGGGGTTTAATGGACAAATGTTTAAAGGGGGATAACTCAAGAACCGATTGATGGATCATCATGATTTTTGGTATGTAGGTAGCTTGAGTGATGCTTGACATAATGATATTACAATTATGCAAATATGGATGTAATTTGCATAATTAATGAGGAAATTATATTATCAGCTGCATTCCATAATAGGAAGTTCAAGCTTGTGACATATGTTATTAAGAATGAGAGAAACACAGGCAGATATCGATTATGCAAATGAAGAATTAATTTGCATAATTAATGAGAAAATATTATAATTGCATAGTGGTAACTGCCTGGAATTTTATACTTGGGGTGTTTGAAAGTTAAGTTAAGGTGAACATAATTAAACATAACTTATTCTAATAAGCACCTCATTTGCATAATTTATGAGAAAATTTCATCATGGCATTCTTTGTTAAGATAAGACTGTCTTTTGGTGGAGAATATGATCAACAGATATAATTCATGCAAATGAAGATCTTATTTGCATAATTAGGGGGA